ACTTCTAGATATCAAAAACTGTACTAGTTTTTTAACTGCTGTGTAACACTTACCACAAATTCAGCAGCTTAGACCAAACTTACTTATGAACTCAGACTTCTTTAAGTCAGAAGTCCAGCATGGTGTCCCTGAACTCTTGCCCATGATATCACAAGAACAAAATCAAGGTGCTGACAAAACTGAGTTCTCACCTGGAAGCTTCAGAGGAAAATATGTTTCCAAGCTCATTCTTGGTTTTGGCAGAATTCAGTTCCTCACAGTTGTAGGACTATAGGTTACAGGTTCCCATTTCCCTTCTGGCTGTCAGCCAGGGCCACTTTCCGCTGCTGGAGTTTACCCACATTCCTTGCCATGTGACCTCCTCAATCTTCAAGCCACAATATTTAGTCATGTCCTTTTCATGCTTTAAATTTCTGATGACCCCTCTTGTGACAAGCCAAAGAAAACTCTTTACTTTTAAAGAGCTCATGTGACTAGATCAAGTCCTTCTGGGTAATCTCCCTTTCCCAAGGTTGTCTGTGCCATATAATATAACCTAACCCATGGAAGTTATAATCCTGGTGATTATATAGGATATGTATCCCAGGAGGGCAGGAAATCTTGGAGCCTATCCTAGAAGCCTGCTTATCACAGGTGTGGTTCATTGGCCCCTTTCAGTCCCAACAATCCTGAAGTAGAGTTTATAGTCTGGGAATTTATTTTTTATCATTCTTCAGTGTCTATCTACCCACCCCCCTACTCTTAGCTCTTTAGGTCAGTATATTATTAGATTAAGAAACAATGGGGAGGGAATTTCATGATAAATTGTTCTCATAAGAATGCACAGATTCCCACACTGAGAGAATAGCTTTGATATGAATTGAGAAGACACCCTCCAAAGAGCAGAGCTTCTTAAATCTTTTAGGAAGCAGTACTGGCTTAGCCCTCTAGCCTGCATTCTGTTTATGATAACATACCCTTTTTTATTTTAGACTGTTTTTGCTGTCTTCTGGTTATCTGTAGGATGAATGTAATTCTGAGTATTTACCAAATCACCTGAGGTCAAGGGGGACCATGTAAGTGCCAAGGTTCTACTGATGCCTGGGTCTATTGATATTTACTGATATGATGTCCCTTGAGGCTGAGAGATCACAGAATGATAGATTTCTCCCCAGAAACATCTCAGAGGTAAGGCTGAAGGTCACATGGCTGGTGGGCCACAGCTGTTGAAGTTATTCTGACTTTCCTGATAATGCTTCCCATCCTTCAGCAGTACAATGTGGGGGCTTCAGTGCTGGATTAGGAACCAGTAAAATTGGGAGAGAAATGTAACATGCTAGAACAAGGAAGGAATCTGTCTCCTTTTAATATGAGCCTTGCTTGAAATCTCTATTTTTGCAATGAGGCTGAAACTATCCTTGCTTTGATCCCATAGAACTCCAGGCATGAAACGAGGTAAAAAACCTCCTAAAACGCTGTGATGCAGAGTAGTTTTTATGTTATTCAAGCCATCCAAAATGCTACATCTAGTGAAAGGGTGGTACTGGGGCCAATATTACATATCAGGCATTTTAAGGTTCACCTAGCACAGTAATTTTGTTTCTTACAATAGCTCCTAGGGATAGTTTATGGAAAGACATTATTCTTTGATTTTTATCATGACAATAATATCAAAAGTGAAGAGATGTTACTGAAATATTACCATTATCACCTAACAGCCTAGGAATAACAACTTACTTTGAGTCGTGAGATAAAACTATGAAAACTGGGTATCCTATGTTCAACTCAAGTTTTAAAGCACAGAAGAAAAAGTAATCTAATTTAAAGGTCAATTTGAAAAGAGTTGGGCATCTACCAGAGTAAACTTTGGAATACAAATTAAAAATGTTATTCCAGCAAAAAGACAGTGTCATTCCCTAAAAGACAAGTTGCTGAGAAGAAGAATTAGGAAAAAGACGATCTGTTATTCAGAAATCCTCAGGTGGGGTATTATACATGGAATAGTTTTTCTACCTCTATGGCTGCTAGCTTATGAGAAGAGAAATCTAGGCAGGTGAAACAGTAGATGAGGAAAACCAGAGCAACAGCTAACAAAGCAATCAGTCTCAAGTCAGGGGGAGCTTCTGATTTGAGAAACTATAGGAGGGTTTCTGCCAAAACAGTAAAGAACTAAAATTTGTCTCTAGCATAGAAAATAGAACAAAGAGAGTCTGGATTCATAGTATATATAAAGGCAGCCAGAACTTTGGTCAGTTTGTCTGAGTAGACATAGAAATCTCCTTTCCTACTTTAAATACATAGAAATTTTGGACAAACTATAATACAACTGCACACAAACACACACAAATGCCCCAGTGCTGAAGATAAAGATGGAACTCAAAGTCAGAGCAGTAAGAGGCGGCCAGAGCCAAAGGGCTCTTGTATAGAACTGGGACTGAGACAGACCTGAGGAGCTGGTGGCTGGGTCTTTAACAGTAGCTATGAGACTTCTGTGCATGGGAGCTGGAATCATGCCTCTTAAGAAGAGCAAGAAGTCCTGTAGGACTTGTCCATGCACACAGTGAGATTCAGACACACCAAGACCACTCCCCAGAAAAGTGATAAGGGGGCTAACTTTCTGGTTAGGACCAGAGAAGGAGAAGGGTCATCAGAGGAAGCCAGGCTGGTGCTGTGTATGAGTGCTAAGTTAGCACTGTCTGCAATCTCACAGCACAGGTCCCAAATCTCACACAATACATGCACTAGTCCTGGGCCAGAAAAATGTACAAGGTCCTAAGCAGAAGTGATCAAGAACTCTAAAGATGCTCTCACTATCAGGTCATGGTTCATAAAGGAAAGCACAGTTTGCAAAGGAGAAAAGTTTAATAACTTTGATTACTTGATCATTTTAAATTTCCATTGAACCGTAGACACCATAGACCAAATTTAAAGGCAAAGATGACCAATGAAAGAAAATATAACTGACAAAAAGAAATAGTATCCAGAATTTATAAATAACTTCTACAGATTAATAAAGAAAAACAGACAAACAAAAAGTACTAATAAGCAATTTACAGAGGAAGAAAATGGCCCAATAAACAAGATTTTTCCATTTCACTTGTGAAGATTGAAGGAGAACCTGACTTAAAACACTGACACACTGTTCACCTTCATCCGATTGGCAAAAGTCAAAAAGAAGATTTATGTTATCTTATAAACTAAAAAAAACTTTATAAAATTAAAAGCGTACAAATCCTACCACATGGTAATTCTCCTCCTTGGTGTACCGTGGAGAGAGCTGTGCACATACAACCCAGTCGACATGTACAAGGCGGCTATGCCAGCACGGTTGCAGGAACAAAACTTCAGAACCATAAGTGTCAACCACTAAGAGAAGGGATGAAAGGCAGCTTTGTTCTCTATGGAAACAGTATATCACAGTAGAAAGGGGTGAACTCCATCTCTGTTTATTAATATAGCTGTATCTCAAAAGTTCAGGTTAAATGAAGAAGTACATGCCACAGAATGATACAGTCCGAAAGTATTCAGGAAAAAAATTTAAAAGTCACAAATTACATATTAAAAGATGTTAAAAGCAGGGTTCCTGGGTGGCTCAGTCGGTAAAGTGTCTGCCTTCTGCTCAGGTCATGATCCCAGCCCCACATCAGGCTTCCTGCTCATCAGGGAGCCTGCTTTTCCCTCTCCCTCTGTCACTCCCCCTCCTTGTGCTCTCTTGCTCTGTCAAGTCAATATATAAAATCTTTAAAAAAATGTTAAAAGCAGGGGCTTCTGGGTGGCTCAGTGGGTTAAAGCCTCTGCCTTCGGCTCAGGTCATGATCCCGGAGTCCTGGGATCGAGTCCCGCGTCAGGCTCTCTGCTCAGCAGGGAGCCTGCTTGCCTTCCTCTCCCTCTGCCTGCCTCTCTGCCTACTTGTGATCTCTGTCAAATAAATAAATAAAATCTTAAAAAAAAATGTTAAGGGGCACCTGGGTGGCTCAGTGGGTTAAGCCGCTGCCTTCGGCTCAGGTCATGATCCCAGGTCCTGGGTTCAAGCCCCACATCGGGCTTTCTGCTCAGCAGGGAGCCTGCTTCCTCCTCTCTCTCTGCCTGCCTCTCTGCCTACTTGTGATTTCTCTCTGTCAAATAAATAAATAAAATCTTTAAAAAAAATGTTAAAAGCAATTGATGGCCTGTAAAGATAGGAATAAATTTTACGATCAAGACTGGCTTTGAGGAGGTAAGAAGGAAAATGGTACTGAGTACATCCTCAAGAGAGGACTTCAACTTAATCTGTAAAATAAAATAAATCTATAAAAGAATAAAAAACCTTAAGAGTTTCAATGCTAGGTGATGAGTACTAAAGTGTTTGTTTACACCACAAAAATTGATAAAATAAACAAAAACATCTAAATAAATACCCCAGACACATGTTTAAAATCCCATCTCAAATTCACTTTTTTCCTTCCATGGAATATCAGCAATCACTTTGAAGCTGTTAATAAGTGTTGTGATTAATTTTTTGAAAACTGGGAAGCAAATGTTTGCTCAAAAGTAGAGTGATGAATTCGTGTCAGCAAATGAAAAACAAACAATCTAACAAATAATAAGTCAGGAAGTAAATTCTTTAAAGGGCCTTCTGGTGTGCCATAAGCTGCTCTGACCTTGGTACAATGTATTTTACCAGCAAAGACCTCTTTTGACAGTTGGTTGCTACACTGCAGTCAACCAAAATGTTACCCTGGTATCCTCTTGTCTTTGCATGTTCCTACTTAGAACAAGACTTAACAAGTCATAAACCCTGACTTTTCTTTCCTTACGGCTTTCTTCTAATCACAAGTACCTTTTAATGCAGGTTAATAAAGTGGATTCTCCTCCATATCCACAAATTTTGAAGCTTAAATGAACTGAAGCAAGACTCCACTAGAACCTTACGAATCTTTCTAAGAACTGCCTATGATGATTCCATGTCAAACACCAAGATAATCAGAACTCAGACAACTGAACATTCATTCACACATTCGCAGAAATAGCAGATTTCATACTTTCTTTTTCTTCTCTGCTCTTTGTAACAATTCCTTCTCCTTCCAAAGCTTCTCTTTCTCCTTCTCCTTTTCTCTTCTTCTGGCAGAAATTTCCATTTCCAATCGTGCTACCTCTTCCTGGTGGGCTCGCCATTGAAGAACCTGAAATAAATGGAAATTCATTCCAATAACTATACCCAGAGGTTTATAAGACTATGTTCTATATCAAGCAGGTGTCAAAGCTTTTCCAAATACACATTAAAATTCTGTGTGTGACGTGTGCATGATGTGTATGTAAGATTGTGTGTGTGTGTGTGTGTGTGTGTGTGTGTGTGTGTAAGTGTTAAAAAGAGAAAGCAATTTTAAAATCATCTCATTCAGGGATTCTTCACTTAGACTCATGGACTGAGATCCTAAAGAGTCTGTGAATTGACTTCAAAGAATCTATGAATTCTCAAAAATAGTACCTATAAATTTCTCTATTTTTGCACAGGTTTGTTTTTCTGAAACGACAGTTCAAGTTTCTAATCAGTTTTCAAAAATTCTCAAATGATCCTACGATCCTAAAAGTTTAAGAACCACTGATATATTTCATCCTTATTTTATAAGTGAGGAAAATGAGCCTGTTTGAAGATGAAAAAAAATTTTAAGACATTTAAAAGAACTTTCTGGGTATTGATTGATATTATTGGTAGAAGCATAATTGGTACTGACTTCTAAAGGACACTGGACAATATGTAAATTAATATGTACCACAATATAAAATATGCATAGCCTTTGACCCACAACCACATTTTGGGGAAATTACTCAAAAAAGATAATCAGTTGGATAAGTGCACAAAAATGTATCCACAGGAGTGTTCCCTGTGGTGCTGCTTAAGCAGAAAAATTAGAAAGAGTCTAATTGATTCCATGTCAAACACCAAGATCAATCAAAACTCAGACAACTAAACATTCATTCACGCATTCACAGCAACAGGATGTCTGGCAACAGGAGAGGTCTTAAATTAATTCTGATACATCATGCAATGACTGCCATTGAAAAAGAATGGTCTATACCTATATTAATTGACATAAAAATGTCCACAACATATTATTAGATGCAAAAAAGCAGGTGCAAAACTACATTAATAGTATGATCTCAACATAAAATATCATCTATGTATTGCTATATACTTTACTCTTAGGACCCCCTTTGCTGCATCCCAAAGATTTTGAACAGTTGTGTTTTCATTTTTGTTTGTTTCCATGAATTTTTTAAATTCTTCTTTAATTTCCTGGTTGGCCCATTCATTCTTTAGTAGGATGCTCTTTAGCCTCCATGCATTTGAGTTCCTTCCAATTTTCTCTTGTAATTGAGTTCTAGTTTCAAAGCAAGGTGGTCTGAAATATGCAGGGAATGATCCCAATCTTTGGTACTGGTTGAGACCTGACTTGTGACCCAGGAGAATCTGGAGAATGTTCCATGTGCACTAGAGAATAATGTGTATTCTGTTGTTTGGGATGGAATGTTCTGAATATATCTGTGATGTCCATCTGGTCCAGTATGTCATGTAAAGTCTTTATTCCTTGTTGATCCTTTGCTTAGATGATCTGCCCATTTCAGTGAGGAGGATGATAAAATCCCCTATAATATTGTATTATTGTTGATGTGTTTCTTTGATTTTGTTATTAATTGGTTTATATAATTAGTTGCTCCCATGTTAGGGGTATAGATATTTACACTTGTTTGATCTTCTTGTTGTACAGATCCTTTAACTAGGATATAGTGTCCTTCCTCATCTCTTTTTATAGTCTTTGGTTTAAAAATCTAATTTATCTGATATAAGGATAGCCACTCCAGCTTTCTTTTGATGTCCATTATCATGGTAAATGATTTTCTAGCCCCTCACTATAAATCTGGAGGTGTCTTTGGGCCTAAAATCAGTCTCTTGTAGACAGCATATATATGGGTCTTCTTTTTTTAATCCATTCTGATACCCTGTGTCTTTTGATTGGGGCATTTAGCCCATTTACATTCAGGGTAACTACTGAAAGATATGAATTTAGTGCCATTGTATTGCCTGTAAGGTGAATATTACTGTATATTGTCTCTGTTCCTTTCTGGTATATGTTACTTTTAGGCTCTGTCTTTGCTTAGAGGACCCCTTTTGTTATTTCCTTTAGGGCTGGTTTGGTGTTTCCAAATTCTTTTAGTTTTTGTTTGTCCTAGAAGCTTTTTATCTCTCCTTCTATTTTCAAAGACAGCCTAGCTGGATATAGTATTCTTGGCTGCATATTTTTCTCAATTAGTGCTCTAAATATATCATGCCAGTCCTTTCTGGCCTGCCAGGTCTCTGTGGATAGGTCTCCTGCCAGTCTAATATTTCTGCAGTTGTGGGTTACAGACCTCTTGTCCCAAGCTACTTTCAGAATTTTCTCTTTGTCTCTGATACTTGCAAGTTTTACTATTAGATGACAGGGTGTGGACCTATTTTTATTGATTTTGAGGGGGGTTCTCTGTGGCCCTTGGATTTTGATGCCTATTTCCTTTCCCAAATTAGGGAAGTTCTCCACTATAATCTGCTACACTATACCTTCTGCCCCCCCCCCTTTCTTCTTCTTATGGGATCCCAATTATTCTAATATTGTTTCATCTTATGGTATCACTTATCTCTCAAATTCTCCCCTCATGATCCAGCAGTTGTTTATCTCTCTTTTTTTCAGCTTCTTTATTCTCCATCATTTGGTCTTCTGTATCACTAACTCTCTCTTCTGCTTCATTTATCCGAGCAGTAACAATTCTTGATTGCATCTCATTAACAGCTTTTTTTATTTCAACTTGGTTAGATTTTAGTTCTTTCATTTCTCCAGAAAGGGATTCTCTAGTATCTTCTATGCTTTATCAAGCCCAGCTAGCATCTTTATACATCATTCTGATCTCTAGTTCTGATAGCTTCTTAATGTCTGTATTGATTAGGTCCCTAGTTGTCAGTATTGCCTCTTGTTCTTTTTTTGAGATGAGTTTTTCTGCTTTGTCATTTTGTCCAGAGCAAAATAGATGAATGAGAGAACAAAACACTAAAAGGGTAACAAAGACCCCAGAAAAATATACACTAAACAAATCAGAAGAGACCCAAAATCAGGAGGAAAAGAAAGGAAAAAAATATATATATGACCAGGCTGGCAAATAGAATAGAGCCATACACTTGATTTGGGGTGTATTTTGGTCTGTTAGAAGAAACTGCCTCCCAAAATTTTAAAGAAAGAAAAAATATATATACAAAAATAAGGGTAAATTTGATGAAGTGATAGAATAAGACTATAAAAATGAAAATTTAAAAAGATTTTAAAAAAGGAATAAGATAATAAGTTGGTTGAAAAAAGAAAGAAAAAAATTTAACAAAAAAAAAAAAAAGGAGAGAATGTGATCAGACGGGAGACTAAAACAAAGCCATACACTAGATTTAGGGTATATTTTAGTCTATTAGAAGAAACTATCCCCAAAATTTTAAAGAAAGAAAAGCTTATATGTACAAAAAATAAGGTTAAATACAATGAAGGGATACAATATGACTATTAAAATGAAAATTAAAAAAGATTTTTAAAAAGGTATTGATAAGATGTTGGTTAAAATAGCAAAGAGGAGGGCGCCTGGGTGGCTCAGTTGGTTAAATGACTGCCTTCGGCTCAGGTCATGATCCTGGAGTCCCAAGATCGAGCCCAGCATGAGGCTCCCTGCTTGGCAGGAAGTCTGCTTCTCCCTCTGACCTCTCCCCTCTCATGCTGTCTGTCTGTCTCTCTCTCAAATAAATAAATAAATAAATAAAATCTTTTTAAAAATACAGCAAAAAGGAAAAGATTTTAAAAATAGAAAAACAAATCATAAGGAAAATTTTAAAAATTTAACTTTGAAAAACTAAAGAATCATGGGGAAAAAGCCATGAATTCTATGTGCTGTATTCCCCTAGCACTGGGGGTTCTGCAGTTCTCATTGGTAAGTAAACTTGGTCCTGGCTAGATGTTCTTGCTGATCTTTTGGGGGAGGGGCCTGTTGCAGTGATTCTCAAATGTCTTTGCCCAAGGCAGAATTGAACCACCCTTGCCAGGGGCCAGGCTAACTAATCTGCTAGGTTTTGGTCTCAGTAGCTTTTGTTCCCTGAATGCTTTCCATACAGCTTTGGAGGATGAGAATGAAGAAGGTGGCCTCCCAATCTCTGACCCCAGAGGAGCTGAGAGTTCGGGGCCCCCCTCTTTAGTGAGTCCTCAGAGAAAAACAGTCAATCATGCTTATCTCTCTGGTCTCGGGCTGCACTCTGAACTCTCCTGGCCTGTGACTGAGCATTTCTATCTCTGGCACATGGCCCATTTGGAGTCTCCAAACCTAGCAGATTCTTACAGCATGCTCCTGTGCCACTCCAGAGCTGCTGCTTGTTGGGTCTCTGCTTGAAGAGTAGTGGCCAACTGTCCCGGAGATCACGGTTTATGGCAACCCTGAGCTGAGAGCCCACTCCTTGGCTCCATCTCTACAGCCAGCTTCCCCACTCTGATACCTGGGAGTTCTGCCACACTCAGGCACCCCTGGTCTTCCTGTGACTCTGAGATCCTGAGACCACACTGCAAGGATTCCACTCCCCTGCTTAGCCACTGGAGCGATGTACCTCCATGGAGGAGCCTTCTACAAGTTCTGATTTTGTGCTCTGCTGCTCAATCATTTGCTGGGAGCTGGCCCCACCCCCTGTAGTCTATTGTCCCATATATCATCTCAGATTCACTTCTCTGCAAGTCCTACCTTCCAGAAAATGGTCTTTTTTCTGTCCACAGAATTGCTGCTATTCTTTTTTTTTGATCTCTTGCTGCATTTGTAGGTATTCAGAATGGTTTGATAACTATCTAGCTGAATTTCTGGGACCAGAGGAAATTTAGGTCTCTTACTCCTCTGCCATCTTGATCCTCCCCCACTCATCTATTATCTATACCTAGAAAAAGACTTAGAAGGAGATTTACCAAAATAATGATACTGGTTATCTCTGAATAGCATCATTTCATGAAATTCAAAAAATTTATTCTTTAAGTCTTTCTGTGCTGAGTGACATTTTTACAATAAGTATGTGTTATTCTTTGTAGGCAGCAAACCAATGAAACTAACAAAATAGAAACAAATATTTACATGTTCTACATAC